TCTATTATCCGGTACCTTATCGAACACCTTTTGGAAATCCAAATATATGACATCTACTGCATTACCATTGTCTACTCTTTCTGTTATCTCTTCAAATAATTCAATGAAGTTGGTCAAACCTTCCCGTTTGAAATCCGTGTTTATTATATTTTCAGTTCCTGGATGTTTTTCTATTACCTCTTTCAGTAAGGAATCCTTTCCTACCACCAATGTTAAGCTGACAGGTCTATAGTTCCCTGGGTTTGTTCTATTTCCCTTTTTAAATATAGATATAATATTAGAGCACTTTGCAAACGAGAGGACCCAGGTTCGATTCTCGGACAGGGCAGGACCTTAGGTTTGTTTCTTTACTCCACACGCCTCTGTTTTCCTTGAAGTAAGTAGGAACCCGGTTGTTAGTTAATTAGTGGATCGCTTTCTGGGGATAATAATCCCTTCAAAAAAAAAGATAAGCTTATGGGATACTGCTGTGCGAAATTGGCACTATCCTCTGGCACTATCTTTTCTAATTAATTATATATAAATATAATATACACATGTGTAATAGTACCTCTGCTATCGCTTCCCTAGATTATTTCAATATACGTGGATACAAACCATCTGGACCAGTGGTTTTATCCTCCTTGAGTTTGGTTAGTTTATCGATTATCTCCTCCCTTTTTTTCTTAAATGTATTTATATCATTTTTGATCTCTTCTTTTACTGTCATTTCCACCTGATAAATACTCTCCCTGGTAAATACTGAGGCAAAGTCATTATTCAGTATTTCTGCTGTCGCTGCCTGGGAGCTTATCTTGTCCATCCCTTAGTGGCCCTATTCCTATTTTAATTTTTCTTTTGTTATTTACATGTCTGTAGAATATTTTACTATTTCTTTTTCTATTCCTTGATAATTTAATTTCGTAGTTCCTCTTTGCCTTCCTAATTGTTTTTTTGACTTCTTTCCTAACGTCTTTGTGTTCTTTATATTCTGTGAAAAGCTTTGAAACATCTCAACAATATTATTAGCAAATACAAGGATTATTATTATTCACTGTAAAATGTAGTGACTGTATTTTCTGTGCGAGCTCTGTAGCGAATTTTGGGCACAGTCTACTCCGGTGTTTTTCTCCTCTGTTTTTGATTGTCTTAAATTGGTGCCCTTTCAGGAGCAACGACTCTGACTGTTTTCTTTGTCCCAACCGGAGGGAGACCAGGGCCTCTGGTTGCTTCACCTATTCCAGCCTTGGCTGAGATCGGGTGACAGGTTAATGCAGCCACCACAAGGTCTTTGACCTTTCTGGTTAGTTTCCCTCGCAACCATTAAGTGTATTCACTCATTCATACACATTCAGGGGGACAGGGAGGGCAGGGCACAGATGCAATACACTGGGTCACATGGGTGACGTCATGCCCATTTGTCATGGAGTATAACCCTCCCTGTGCCCCTGCCCCCCAAGAGAGAAAGAGGGAAAGGTTAAGGTTACTTTCCCTCATGGGGGTGAGGTGGAATCAGAGTTCCTCCTTTACTTTGTTGCCTGAGTGTGATTCATTCAGTGACATAATCTTTCTGTAACCTCCCAAGCCTGAGAGTGTGATTTTTGTCACGTCACAGGATTGGGTTAGATGAAGAAGGCTGTTTGGCCCATCTGATCTCAAAATAATAATCCTTGCATTTGATATAGCGCCTTATCACGTCTTTGAGACGTCTCAAAGAACATCACAGAATATACCGTAGACTCTTGTTCTGCTCTCTTGGTACATCCCAAAGTACTGTTCTTGGTTTACTTGAACAATCTCACTTAAACATTTATACACCTCTATGTGATCCCCTCTGAGGCAGTCTTCTCTCAAAATTGTTTCTCTAATTGTGGCTCATAGCTCATTTGGCTAACAGTGGGGATCATCCTCTTTGCTCTCCTGTGTGTTGCCTCTAGAATCAGGGCACCCTACTTATGTCACAGTGACCAGAACTGCCCTCAGTGCCCCCCCCCAGGTGTAGCCTGACCAACAAACACTGTACAGCTTGAGTTTGACGTCTGAGGAGCCCGACTTGACTGATTTGGCAACCTCGCATCCTGTTTGTCATGTTTATTTCTGCCTCGCACTGTTTTGACACAGTGAGCGATGAGTCAACTAACACCCCTAGATATCATTTAGCTTCCCCCATAGCAACACATCTGAGTTCTATTTTTGTGTATGTGTCTTTTTCCTTTCTTGATCACTTGCACTCTGTTTTTCTGTCTCACAGTCTCCTTCACTGTATTTCTCTTTTTATTTTTGCCTATACCTATTTTTCTGTTTTTCCTTGTTTCGTTTGCACACACACACACAACACCCTCGCACTCTGTTTTCCCTCCCCCCATTTATTTCACTCGGGTAAAAAATCTGATGGAGATCTGAAAATCCATTGTTTGAAACAAGATGTTGGAACAAGGTAACATAGGTTTAGAATTGCAAAGGGCCATTTCAGGACAGATGCCAGCAAGTTCTTTGTTACGCACAAATTAACTAATTGCAACAGGTTACCAGGAAGAATGAGTTGAGGCCAGGACACTGGGTTTCAGTTTAATAACGCAGCTTGACATGATAACAGGAAGATTGTAGGGATGAGTGTTCTGGTAGGATGAGAATCAAATGGGCCGAAGAGCCTTCTTCATCTGATTACCTCTCGTCTCTCTGAGGAAGTCTAGCTCTGCTTTGAGGAAACACCCTATCGAACAGCAGTTTCCTCATTCTTTTGCCACATTTGTGCAACGTAATAATAATACTAATCCTTGCATTTGATATAGCGCCTTATCATGTCTTCGAGACGTCTCAAAGCGCTTCACAGGATGTACTGTAAAGTGAATTGACTGTATATTTTGTGGGCGAAAGGCAGCAGAAGTGACCAATTTTATTATTATTATTTTCTTTGATGGGATTATTCCCCCCAGAAAAGCGATCTGCCAATCGACTAACAACCGGGTTCCTACTTACTGCTAGGTAAACAGAGTAGTGTGGAGGAAGGAAACTTGCCCAACATTTCGTCCTGCTGGGAATCGAACCCATGTCTCTCGCTTGCGAGATTGTTGCCATTAGGACTCTGTTTGCTTCCCGGTAGAGTGCTCTGGTTGTGAGTGCTTCGAGGTGGAACGGGGCAAACTCACTGCCAGTGTAGAACGAGTAATGTAGGCATTTCCCACTGAGGGGCACCTGAAATGAAAAAAAGGAAGGAGACGGGTGCTCCTGACTCTTACTATGTGTATAAATAATAGAAGTGTGTCAGCCTGACACAGCGGTAGTAACTCTCACCTCTGAGTCAGAAGGTTGTGGGTTCAAGCCCCACGTCAGGACATTGCCTAAGCTGACAGTCCAGTGCAGTGCTGGAGGCGTGTTGTATTGTCAGAGGTGCCGTCCTGTGGGTGAGACGTTAAAGCGAGGCTCCGTCTGTCTGTTCAGGTGGACATTAAAGATCCCGTGGCACTATTCGAAAAGAGAAGGGAGTTTCTCTCTCCTGGTGACATCCTCCCGACGTGAAAGGCGCTACACAAATATAATTTTGTTGTTGTTGTTGTTCTGGCCAACAATCCCCCGAATAAAATGTGTTACTCACTCCATGGCTGTTTTTGGGACATTGCTATGCACAACTGGCTGCCGCATTTCGCTCACGAAATACACAGTCAATCCATGTTATGGCAGATCCCGTGAAGCGCTTTGAGAGGACGTGAAAGGGCCATTTTTAAATGCAAGGACTATGGATCATCATTTTTACCCACTTTCCAACTGGGGTCACTGGACAGGGATTAAATAACAACAATAATCCTTCCATTTGGTGCAGAACCTTTTGTCCAAATGTATCGAAGCACTGCACAGGATTTATCCCATAAGTGTAGTGAATGTGTATTTCGCAGGTGAAAGCTGCAGGTAAATTGTGTACAGCAATGTCCCCGGTACCTCCCCTCCCGCAAAATTTTTAATCTGGTGGATCATTGGCCAGGACACCGGAAGAGAGAAACTCCCTTCTCTTTTTGAATAGTGCCAGGGAATCTTTAACTTAATAATAATAATCCTTGCATTTGATATAGCGCTTTTCACGTCTTCCAGACATCCCAAAGCGCTTCACAGAATATACTGTAAAGTGAATTGACTGTATATTTGTGGGCGAACGCGGCAGCCGATTGCGCACAGCAGCGTCCCACAAACAGTCGTGGATTGAGAATGACCAATTTATTATTGGTTTTGTTTTTTTTGGAGGGATTATTATGAATAGGCGTGTGGAGTAAGGAAACCTGCCCAAGGTTTCGCCCTTGACCTGCGTGGAATTGAACCCCAGGGTGTCTCGCTTGCAAAGCGAACGCTCTAACCACTGCGGGACTCATTTGCACCTGAACTTGCACCTGAACAGGACCTGGGGACTAACGTCTCATCCCAAGGACGGCAGCAAATGCAGTGCTCCCACAGACCCCAACCCCACCCCCCCCCCCCCCCCCCCCGGGCACGGCACGGCACTGCACTGCACCGCGAGCACCAACCTGAACCGTGGCGGCTCAGCGCTGCTGGCGTTGCCCGTTGCGCTGCGCTGCGCTGCGCTGTTCTGGGACCGTCCCGAGAGAACGAGCAACAACGCCGGGACATTTAGACGCTTTCTCAGCGCACCACCACCACAACAACAACAACGACGACAACAAGATTCCATTTACAGAGCGCCTTTCACTTTCACGTCGGGGCGGACGTCCGGAGGCGCCGGACAGTTGGGTCGGGACCCCGAGCCTTGGGGGGGTGGGGGGGGGGGGGGGGTGGGAAATGCAGTGTGTGCGGGTTCGGGAGCCGCCGGGACCCGGTGTGGGCAGATCAGATTGGCTGCTGCCGGCGGTCCGGCCCTTTGAATGACAGCGCCGAGCGGTGACTCCGCTGCCGTTTGCAGAGTCCGCCCCTCACATCCTTCAGCGCTGCCTCCTGTGTGCGGTGCGCACCGCTTGAACCCCGCAGCACTTTTACGCACAACACACAACACAGTGTGTGAGAGAGAGAGAGAGGGAGAGAGAGGGAGTGCAATTTATTCGAGGAGTGCTCACTTCTGGCCATGAGCAGCTCCGGCCCCAAACACCACTGACTGACTCGCCGACCCTCACCCCCGAGCGATGCTGTGACTCTCGGCTCCGGAGCCCTTTCCACGCGTCCAACTTCGCGAGTTGCCACTGAGGACCGAATGCAAAGCGGAGGCTGAGAGGTGAGTGAAGGAAGGGACCGCGGACCTGGTGATCAGCTGGTGGGTGGGGATGGGTGGGGGGTGGGTGGTGGTGGTGGTGGTGGGGTGGGGGGTGGGTGGGGGGAGTATGGGGGCAGGACATCTGCTTCCAGTAGGTTTTCATGCCTTTTAGACAAAAGGAAAGGCGGAATTGTAAAGAAAAAAGATCACTGAAACTCCAGCTTGTGGGAGTGTGTGCCACAGGCAGAGAGAGAGGGTACAGAGGACCGTTAACCACTGCGGTGTGGAATGCAAAGAGAGGGGGAGAGAGAGAGAGAGAGGGAGAGAGAGGGCGGTGCAAGAGGAAAGGGAGGATGGGTGGAGGAGAGAGGCTTCAAAAACAGGATGTGTGGCAATGCCTTCACCCTGTTGTCCATCCAGCAGACACCGTGGCCGCCCTGCGCTGCAGATGCCACGTTAGCTGGAAGGAACCGGGAGCCGCTGGGAAGGATGGAGATTGATCTTGGGTATCGGCGCGGGGGTTAAACTCCGCCGGTCGAGGAACCGGTATCCGGCTTACGTCCCGGAGGCGCAGGTTGTTCGTCAGGGCCACGGGCAAACGGAGCCACGGTATTGCCGGGATCTTGACTTGGTACGCCGTGTTGGTAGCCACACTTTGCTGGTTTCGCCTGAATATGGTTTTGAGATGGGTGTGTGGGGAAGGGGTGGGGTGGTGGTGGGTGGTTGGGTGTGTGGTGGTGGGGAGGAAGAGGAAGTTCTCAGCTTGACATAAGGGACCCTCAGATTGTGCGGAATCTGAGGGTGGTGGGACGCGGACAGGGAGGAAATTGAAAGACTTAACGCACGGTAAAGTATAATATTGACCCTTAAATATCTACCTTAAATCGCATGCTGTTTGGAGTTGGTTGTGCTGAGCGGTGGGTCACCTTTTCTCTGTGTGTGTGTGTGTGTCTGTCTCTCTCTATTTGAAATGTCAATGGACCTCTGTTACCTGGTCCAAGTGTCTTATTAATTTGAGTCTGGCCTCATTGACATCCATCCACTTGCATAACCCAGCAAGAATCACAGGGTCATCTCCCCACCCCCCACACCACCAATAACCAATCTCTCTTCCCACCCACCCCAACCCTGGCTGACTCTTTCTTTCAGAAAGGACTTGGGTCTATGTTAACCGGCAAGTTTTACTCAAGACTAAGTGGTGTGGGGAGAGATTTGCACAGGGTAATGGAAAGGTAAGGAGATGCCAGGGTGTGAAGGGATCTTCATCATAGCTATCCTCACAGGTACCATTCACTCATCATCTCCGAACAGATTGTCTTCAAGATCCTCGTCCTCACATGTGAACCCCTCCACATCTTAACACCAGAAGCTTTGTCCTGAACCCAGGTTTTGTCCGCACTGGGTCACCATCTCTCGAATCCTAGCGGGATTTATCTGGCTTTGTGCCGTCGGTGTGATGTGAGGTGATTAACATTGTTTCAAGTCGTCAGTTTCAAAAGAGATGAGAATGGGATGTACGCAGCAAAGCAAAACCCGTTTTCGAGAGAGAGCAGGAGACGGATTAGATTACTTGACAGGAATGGGGAAGTGAACAGCAGCACGGATACAGTGATGGAACAAGCAGCAGAATGGGATTAGCCTCGAGAGCTCACGTGGGGAGCGAGCACAAGCATGATAATAACAATAATAATAAACCTTGCATTTGATATAGTGTCTTATCATGTCTTCAAGACGTCTCATAGCTCTTCACAGAATATGCTGTAAAGCGAATGACTATGTTTTTGTGGGTAGAACGCGACAGCCAGTTGCGTGATGGGGAAAGAGCAGGGGAATGGGAAATGAGAGCTCAAGTGAGGCAGTGGGGAAGTGTGCACCACCATAGATAGAGTGAGGGAAAGAGCATGGGAAATGCGATAGAGAGCTTGAATTGGGGAGCGAGCACCAGCACAGAGGGGAAGAGAGCAGGGGAATGGCAATAGAGCAAGAAGCTCCAGTGAGGGAGCCCTTTTGTTTACAAATAAGTCAAAACCCAAGTTTACTACTAATAATAATAATCCTTGCATTTGATATAGCTCCTTATCATGTCGTTGAGAGATCTCCGAGCAATTTACAGAATATATTGTAAGGAGGGTTGACTGTATATTTTGTGGGCGAAATGCGGCAACCAATTGTGCACAGCAGTGTTCTGCTAGTTATTCAGTTTCAACGAAAAGCAGCGGTGAGACTCTGGCCTGTCAATTTCTGCGGAGGCTCAGATTGTACATTTGCTCTTCTGGTTGCTGCCTTGTTTTGTTTAAACGAGTGCATTTCCTTTCAATTTCCTTGTCGGACGTGCACGAGGTAGTTTGCTTACGATTTGCCGCCATCTATGAGGTTCTGTTAAGACGACCACGACGTTTGTAAGTGAAATCGGAACCTTTTGTATATTGTTTCCATCTTTTTGTCTGCCTGGCAGGAACAAAATAGTTTCCTGCTCTCTTGTCTTTGCCTGTCAAGCATTGCAACCCCGCCTGAGAGGAAATGCAGACCTGCATTTGCTATTTCCTATAAACAGTTGCTATAAGCAGCCTCCAGGGGGCGCACTGCCGTGTTCATCAGTTGGGGGTCTTAACCCTCTTTGCACCCCCTTCACAGTGCAGGCTGACACTCCAGCCCAGTACTGGGAGGTGCGCTGCATTGTCAGTGGCGCCACCCTTCGGATGAGGCAACTCCAGGTCCTACCTGCATGCTCAGGTGGACATCAAAGATCCCATATCTATTGGAAAAGAGAAGGGAGTTTCAACCGTTGGCCTGGCCAACTGCTTAGACGAATCGGTCATTCACTCGTGGAGTGTTTGTGGGACTTTGCTGGCTGCTGCATTTACCTACATAAACAGTCACGACACTTGACAGTCATTGTACTGTGAAGCGCTTTGAGACGTTTTGACACAATAAGGCATCATAAAAATGCAAGTTCTTTTTCTTTCCACCCTCCCCTGATTGTCACACGCTCGCTCCGATGCACGGGAACCCTGTGTCTTGCACCAAACCTCTGTATTGCATTGACCACTGGCACATGGTGAGCCTCTGCAATATTTCCTTCCCCCACACAAGCATTATAAAGGTCCTCTCACTGAGTAGACAGGCATACTGGAGTCCTGGAGCATATGTGGGGTCCTGTAGTGTATTGGTTAGATCAATCACCTTGCAAGCAAGAGTACATTAAAACCACAAGACTATGGCACTGTATCAAATGTAAGCATGATTATTATTATTACTGTTATCACCTGTGGAGATGGAATGGTTCAACGCATTCAAGGGGGAACTGGATAGCTGTTTGGTGAAGAAATAAATTGAGGAGCATGAAAGGGAGAGAGAAGTGGAGGATTCGCTTTACTTTCTGGGAAATGGACCGCAACAGTCTTTCCCGGTCCCTCACATTCCGATGATTGCATCTTATCTCTTAATATTTGGTGTTCAAAACAAATTCACTGACTCCTTCCTTGTGATTCTGGTGGATAACAGCAGATGTTCAGAAGCTATTTGCTGCTCCCCCTCACACCCACCCCCTTTAACGAGGAATTAAGGTTATTACTGGAAGTATGAAGCGAAAGGTCAGAAGGAATGATTTTACACACAGGGTTATTAGGGCGCGGAATGCATCCATAAGTGGCTCTTGAAGCCCAGTGATTTAAGAGGGAATTGGATAAATACTTCAGGAATAAAGATTCTCTGTGTGGTGAAACCCCCAAGAGTGTCAGTCCACAATTCGCCCTGCACAGCCCTGAACCTCTGCTCTCTTGTCCTGCTGCCTTGACGATATCTTATAATAATCCTTGCATTTGATATAGCAGCTTATCACATCATTGAGACGTCTCAAAGCGCTTCACAGGATGTACTGTAAAGTGAATTGACTGTGTATTTTGTGGGTGAAATGCGGCAACCAATTGCGCACAGCAATGTCCCACAAACAGCTAAGGAGTGAGTGGCCAGTCTTATTTTGGGGGATTGTTGGCTGGGACACCAGGAGAGAGAAACTCTCTTCTCTGTTCAGATAGTGTCTCAGGATCTTTAACATCCACCTGAAACAGACAGATAGAACATAGGCTTAACTTCTCATCCGAAGGACGGCACCTCCAACAATTCAGCGTTCCCCCAGCGCTGTATTGGAGTATCCTTTTTCACTCGTATCCTTTTTCTGCATGTAATTATCACGCTTTAAATGCCCCCAGTTGACTGCTCCAACAGCCCTCCCTGTACGGCCGGCAATTCATTCCCATATTCTGGCAGAAATAAAAACGTCCTCGTGTCCCTTTCACTCTTTTGGTGATGATTTTAATCTCGTGCGCGGGATAACGTGTCGTGTACCCTGATCCTGCGGTTTACCACAAGTGTTGTACACTGTCGGCTCCAGTGATGAGTGTCTGTCTCCCGGCATCTAATGTGTCCGAGTGGGAATTTTTATCAAAAGTCCGGGGCAGCCTGATGACCCACAAGCACTGACCCATGACCATTTGTAGCCTGTTTTGCTGTCGTACGTGATGATTGTCGCTGGTACTAGAAGATGTTTTGTGATGTGATGATTATCACTGGTAGTTGTTGAGCAGTTTGTGATGTGATAATAATCACTGGTACTAATTCTGCAGTTTGTGATGTGATAATTATGTGATGTGATAATTGTCACTAGTAATAGTGCGGTTTGTGCTGTGATAATTATTGTTATGCGATAATTATCACTCGCAATAATTATGCGGTTTGTGATGGGATAAAAATAATCCTTGCATTTTGATATAAAGCCTTGTCATGTCTTCGAGAAGTCTCAAAGCGCTTCACAGAATATACTGTAAAGTGAATTGACTGTATTTTGTGGGCGAAATGCGGCCAATTTCACACAGCAGCGTCCCATAAACAGTCCTGGATTGAAATGACCAATTTATTATTATTATAACAATGAACATGTGGTACGATAATCAACACTGGTTTTAACTGTGCATCTTATAGTGTGCTGGTGTGTGGGCATGATCTGACAAATGCTGTACTGT